AACAATCCTGATGATGCCGCCCATTAAATACAATTCCAAAATTCTACAAAAGCCAGGGGTTGGTGTTGGAAGGGGTGAAATAGAGGTCACTAGATACACTAATCTAGTTGGGTGATGCAATCTGGGGAAAGATGCCAAATTAGCTTTGCAGAGTGCAAGGATCTGGGCACTATCAATATTGTGCATTTTTCATGCTGCAACTCATAGAGAATGAGGTGTTGTGTCACACTATACCATGCTTTTGCCCATAGTAAGAGCACAGTGTTCGGCTGTAGGGCAAGTTAGCAATCAGTCTTCAAAGTCTTCCCGATTTTAAAACTCTGAACTGATGGTGTGCTGAGATTTTTTTCTAGGTTAGAGTGACAGCAGCCTGAAGGCAGGAGTGGCCAGGATGGTTGGAGCCAATAGCTTGAAACTGACTTGAGCCCTCTGGCATCTCATGTTGCTTGCACTTGGAGTTGGTGACACAAAGCCCATGGGGCCAACTTAATGCAATTTTTGAAAATTAAAATTAAGTCCCCAAACTCTCAGTCTTGTATAAAGTCTCACAAGATTTCAGCATCTCATACAAGATCCCAGGAAGTCCTAGAATGCAATCAGTAAAATCTCAGGAATAGTAAGCAGCTACGGAGACATTAGTGTTAAACTCAAAGAGTTTTGATAATTGGAAGAAGGCCACAAGCTAAAAACGGTTGCCTACCTCAGGACAGAACTGGATTTTTCCAAAGAGTCAGCTCTGCACTGGCCATCAGAGACTTGAGTTTGGCTTCAGGTATGGAGTGTGGTGCAAACGAAGAAGAGCACTGATATTTCATGAAGACCGGATCATTGCCAGGGAACGGGTAGGACTGGATGAACACGAGGTCTCAGAAAGTTGAGGGGGGAAACCCCTTAGCTGCAGTTCTGGTTTTCTCCCCATGTTGCTTTGAATGTTCTGGAGCCCAACACGGTTAACTCCCAGTCCTTGGATCAGATTAGAAAACTATTGGAGGCAGCGAGGGAGAGGGCTCGTGTAGGCAGCTCAGATTTGCACTGCAATAATCTGAATTCCACTAGATGTCAGCAAAGAATTCAATTTTTCTGTGTCTCATTGCTGCCATCCAGAGATCATCTTTTTTTTTTTCAGCCCAGACCTGCTAGCTCAGGGTTCCTCAACCTTGGCAGCTTTAAGACGGGTGGACTTCAACTCCCAGAATTCCCCAG